TTTGGTTTCCATTGCCCTTCACAACACTTCACCCACCACACCAAGGTGCCCAGACTCCTGCACCTCTCCCAGAAAAAACACAGGATTGTTCCCACCTGCTCTCATCAAAAACCAAAACTCTAGCATTGCCTGCAAGTGAGGGGGTTGCTGCTTGTCGAGATGAGCCATGGTAACTGAAAAGAAGGTAGTCTCTAGGGGTTCTTAATATTCCTAAATTCCTGAAGTACATGTGCAGTAAGATAAAAAAAGCCTAATTCATTTTGCATTTGAATAAGTCCTTTGGTGAAGAACTTTCATTTCACAATCAAGAGGACTGGCAACAGCTGCTGAATTGATGTCAGTATGGCAAAAATTTAGTGGCACCTCTCACCTGAGATCAAGACAGTCTGAGAAATTGCCTTTGAAAACACACAGCTGGAGGGAAAGGTACAATCCAGACATTGTTTTTCATGCTTTATAAACATGATGATATAGCAGCTTCAAGCAGTTGATGTTAGGATTGCAGCTGCTTGGCCGATGCTGTGCTGAGCCACTGTGACCTTGGGCAAGAGCCACTGTCCTGAACGGTCCCTGTGGTAGCACAAGGAGAGGCCACTCTCCTGTCCAGCTGTTTGCATGGCAGAAGTGACTGTCCCAGCTCCTGCAGCCCCTCTGCCCCCTCAGCAGCTGCCAGCCAGCAGGGCCCCCATGAGACCCCGCTGGATGCTGAGGCAGAGGCCCTGGGAGGCTGCCAAGACGCTCCTTCACCGGCGAGAGCCGCAGTGTCTGCCCTCACCGAGGTGTGCTGAAACGGACACGCTTCTGTTGGAGCTAAATCCAAGCTTTGGGGCGTTAGCAATCATTTACACTGCTGAAAAGGGGACCATGAGATCATCTGAAGTTGTCTTTTGTGAGAGTTTAAAACTACACTGTCTGGGATGTGATGAATACTGCTCACAAAGATTGAGGCGACCACCCAGGAGTTAATATGATTAAGATCATTTATTCCTATTGTAATTCTAAGAAAGCTTTCAGGTTTATCAAGTGAGTGGCTTCTGTTCCTTTTATCCTGAGATGGGTACACCTACTAGAGCTCGCTGTGTGTCACTTTGACAAAACACATTTTCTGAGCCTTATTTACATGAAAAAAAAATCCAGATTATTATAAACATTTCTATTCACATCAAAAGCATTTTTATTTTGCAAGCATTTCTTTGTTATTTCCTTTGCTACTGAATCACAGCTGCTGAGAGGGATGCTGGCATGTTGCTCAGCCTTCCCACCCACCGCTGCTCCACCAGTGAGGTTTCCATTCCTGCACAGGGATGTCAGGTTTGCCACCAGTGGCCCAGGGACATGTGTATGCTCAGAATAATCTCTGCACCATCCAAACTGAAAGCTTCAGCCACAGGAGACTCAGGGAGAGCTGCAGGATCCGATGTCCCAGAATTGTTCTGCCCAGGTTTTCCTATGCGTGTGTGGGGTGACCGTCCCTTCTGCCCCACCATGAGCATTGACCAGAGGTGAGAGACAGACAACAAAGTCTCAGCAGGGAGCCAGGAGGAGAAGCAAGAGCCACCAGCACCCAGCCCCTGCTGAACCGCAGCTCCTGTGTCTGCTGGGCACTGCTGCAGCTGGGCAGGGGCAGCAGGAGAGGTGCTGCTTGCAGGGGATGCCAGCCTGAGCAGGCTCTGTGAGACACAGCACCTCAGTGCTGAGTCCTGTACTGCTGGGACAGGGCCTGGCCTGACATCTGGAGAAACAGAGGAGACCAGGAACTTTTCAAGGTGAGAACTGGCTCTGGTCAGCCCTGGGGAGAACATGGTAATGTGGCTGCTGGGCCTCACCTGCAGAGCTGAGCTGCAGCGAAACAGGACGTGGCCACGGCACACAGGTACAGGTGCCACAACAGCAGAGTGGCATCTGGTTTGCAGTGTGATTCCACAGTTAACTGTGGGGTATGTTCTGGGCCCCTTTTTATTATTCTGCTGATAGCATACTTGTTCTCAGTTGTCTCTCTGAGAAGACCCTGCAGTCAGTCACACGAGATGTTACATAAACCAGTTACTAATTTCTTCAGTGACTGAAATACCAGCCAGCCCCAGAATGGCTCAGCTAAAGAAGCAAACCTGGCGGGGGTGAGAGGAGGGGACAAGAAACCCCCCGCAAGCCCAGCAGAGCGTGGGATGCAGGCAGCAGTGGCAGCTAAGCTGAGAACGGGGTTTGCACCTGCCCAGCAGAAGGAAAACTTAACCCATGCAGCGTTTCCAGCACAGCTGGGAGCCTGCATGCATGGCTGATGCCCAGCTGCTCCCTGCACCAGGGCACTGCTCTCCTCCCCCGTGCCAGTAAAGAGTCTCTGCTCTCACTGCAGTGACCACATAAACGTCCCAGTCCTGCAGGCCCAAGCAAGGTAAGCAGGCTGCAACCTGCCTGGGCAGGGGTGATGCCACCTCCTGCCCCTGGGGAGGAGCAGCCCCGAGCACCAGCACAAGCTGGGGTCAGGTGGCTGAGAAGCACAGGGCTGCTCACAGCAGTCATCTGCACCCTTTCATTCTTTCTGTCTTAAGTAATTTGTTTTATAAATGCATTGGTTTCTCAGCCTATGCCCTCAACAGTTTGATGTCGCTGTGCACTGCAGTGCTAAGCAATGCCCCCTGGCAGGAGCCTGCTCCCAGTGAGCGTGGGGTGTCAGCGTGCTGGGGCCTTGGAGCTGGGAAATCCAGACTGTACCTGTGCAGGTGAAAGAAACTGGACTGGGGGCACTGGGGATGCAGGATGGCGAGGTCTCAGCAGCCCAGAGAAGCTCAGCTTAAGTCTTTTGGATGGCAATTCCTCACTGCTGGAGGTCATCCCATCGTGCTTGGAGTCTCGTGCTGTCCTTGTCCCTGCCAGGTTTGTGCATAGTCTCAGTAGCAGGATGGGGAAGTTTTGCCAGAGGTCCCATCCAACCCACACAGCCCTGTGACAGCCTGCCAAGGGTTCTCCTGGGTGTCTGCAGTGCCAGAGACTGGCTAATAACTGAGTAATCATACAAGCTAATTACAGAGTTACTTTTGCCCACTACAATAAAGTGCTACCTCATAATTAAAAATAAAGAGAATGGCAATCTTAATTATTAGGCTTTCATTAGGCTGACAGAGGGATATATGGCACTGCAAGGACTATTCTTGTGACCTGCTCCCAGTTCCCACCCACTCCTGCCCATGAGACTCCTGGGGAAGCCCAGAGCAATTTCTCCCATTGAAAGCAGAGGGAGAGTAATGCATATCCATGTAGACCTCACTAAATGCCACATAGATTGGAGGATCAAGAGCAATCTGCCCTTGAGCATTCCTCAAACTTCAATGCTTGTTGGCCACCTTAGCAATTCATGAATTGCAATTTTAACATAATTATAAATTACACCACATTTCATGTCTTCACATCCACATGGAAAATAACCACATACCTGAGCAGCACATGGTGTGTCTTTGTGCTTAAAATACTGCAGCAAATACACTGTGTTGATCTTTGCAGCTTTCCCAAGCAGCCTTACCCCTGGCGTGCTGGGGAAGGATGAGCTGTGTGGGGCTGTCTCAGGTTGCCTCTGCCTAAGGGCCAGCTACAGGCAACTTCTCTGGAGGTAGGAGGGCTTACAAGCCTAGCAGCTGTAAGTCTTGCTCCCACTAATAATGAAGTGACAATATATTGTGTTATGAAAAAGTTAGCACTTCAGCACTCTTTGTAGGGGCAGCACAGAAGAGATACCAGGTTATTCCTATTCAGCAAACACTGAACTCACATTGAGATGGCCCCATTACAGGAAAGACAATTTCACAAGGTCTGTCTCTACCTTTCCCTTGCAAGATACAACTTTAGCCGAAGATTTGAAGGCTTCAGATGTAAGCTGTGAGCTGAGGAAGTGCTGCTGCAGTCAGAGATTGGGGTATGAAGGACAAAAATTCAGCTCTTGGAGACCTCTCAGTCTGGGAGACAGTGGATTTTCCCATATTCCTTAATGAGCCTCTTCAGGTGTGCATACAGGTCCCATTCACCCAAGCAGGCAGCACTTCCCACCAGCAGTGCCTTCAATTTCAACTGGACAAAGCACACCAGAGCTCCCTGCTGAAGAGAAGCTGTGCCAGCCCTCAGTCTGTAACAAAGTGAGTCTGACACCACCTCAATAGACAGGGCAGACCTGCAGAGGCAGCTCTGCTTTCTGGGAGCTGGGCTGAGCACCTGAGGTTAGAGCAGCCCCACGGTTTTGCACTGCAACCGAGCAGCTCTGGGGTCTGTTTGCCACATGGCACTGAAAACAACCAAGCAAACCTGAATCTGCTGCAGCACTGCCTTTGCCACTGTGCAGGTTGGAATGCTGAAAAAGAGGAATCAAAGTGATGGAGTGTAAATGTCTGAGAACCAGGAAGAACTAAGATAAGGTATGTTCCCAAGGCAGCCCTGTAAGCCAGCAACCTGTGGGGTGACTGTGCTTCACTGACCCTGGCCCTCTGCGCCTGGTCACTATCCCTTCCTGCCCAAGCCCAACCCTGATGATTTTGTGCTTGCTGTCTACTTAGAAGCAGCCAGGAGCAGCTTACTCCATGTGTCTGAGGCCCTGAGTGAGGAGCACCCTGACCTGAACACTCTGTGTTCAGCTACTCAGAGTGCATGGACATGTTATCTGAGCCAGCTTTCCTTTCCTTCCTCGTTAATCAGTGCTGAATGATTGATTTGGCCTCACTCTCCCCACATTTGGAAGAAGAGAGGCAGCATCACTCTTGATGGAGCACACATTTGCTTTCAGAAAGCCACCAGCATCCTTTTGAACATAGCCAGGTACGTTACCCAGCATAAAAAGAAATCATCATGTAAGAGAGATGGAGAGTTGCCATGTGTCTGCCCATCACTCCAGCACCTCTGCTTGGAGCAGGACCAACAGCAAGGTGCCCAAGTGCTGCTCAGGTATGATGCCCAAGTGCCCTGAAACCCTCTTCCCCTCGTGCCACAGCGAGACTTCTCTCAGTGCATTTAGCACTTACCTTCTGGACCAGCTTTTTCCATTGTCTTTCACCTGGAGATGCAAGAGATTGGGAGCACAAAAACGGTGTGGGGACTTGGTATTTCTACCAGGGGCTGGAGGTAGCGCTGGGGAGTTCAGCAGGCATCCAGCTACCCCAGGGAACAGGACAGGGCGGGGCCGGAGGAGCTTGTGGAAGGAAGCAGTGGTTTTCATCAGCAGCAGGAGGGGAAATCCAGCAAGACAGCTGCTTCGTTAGTGCTGGAGCCTCCCAGGGACTACACTGCCTTGCTGAAAAAGGAGCTCATGTGCTGGAATGGTAAAAAATTGACTTTGGGGTTATATATGCACTGGCCACAAGCTGGTGGTGGAATTAAGGGAATGAGCACAGCGACTTTCCAGCACTCACAGCACAGTGCCTGGAGGACAGGCTGTCATTGCTCCCACACACCTCATTCCCTCTCATCCCCAGCAGTGTGATGGTACAGGGGACATGCAGTGCTGAGCTTCTCTCACCACAGGAGGGGTAATGTCAGCCTCTCCTTCACCTGCACCCAGCCCAACTCTGGCCCAGGGGCATAGGTGCCCTGCAAGCACTGGCAGCCTGCAGAGAGAGGGGCTGTGCTCTGGGGACATGCCTTGGGGACATGCCTGGGGAACGTGTCTCAGGGGATGGACCATGGGCTGGTGGGAGCAGGCTGAGGCTTTTTGATTCAGTTATTCCTATCCAGCTGGGAGCAATCTTGGACATTCCTTCAGGGCACCGCATGGTTTAGAGGAGAAGCTGTCCTCAAGAATAATAATTTTGCTCATTTTAACACAGAAAGAAGAGCAGCCCCCAACCCTCTGCCACAAGAAAGTGGATGACAGGAGACCCAAGAGATGTAAGCTTCCCCTGGGCAGAGGAACAGTGCTGCCAGGAAAATGAAGTGAGTTTAAAAGCCTGGTGTCATCTTCCTTTCTCCATGAAGGTTGCAGAACATGGCCATCAGCATTTAAAGGCAACCTTTCCTGTTCTGCTTTTACCTTCTTTCTAAAACCTCTAAAGGGTGTGAAGCAACAGGAAGGAAGCCAGAGGAGCAGTAAAGGCAGTGACATCTGTGTGCCATTGATTCATTACTCACAGAACAGGGATAACAATCAACAGTGAAAAATGTGGAAGCTGAAGGAGAGCTCATGAAAGGAGTAACCAGCTTTTTTACAAAAAAAAAAAAAAACTCCTCTGGATTGCTATGGTCACTTGCATGCAAGACATCACAGGGCAACAAGTTAGGAGTGACATCTTTCCTAAATTCCCTTTTTTGTTACACAGTCTAAATGTGGCTTTCCACCCCATGTTGTTTTGGGGTGACAAGCTACCCAGGTCTGCAGGGAGAATTCTGCCACTGCTGGGAGAAAGGTCCTCTCAGGATACAGACTTGTAACCATCAGCTTGAATTCAGCCTGTCAAATGAACGTAGGTTGGATTCAAGCTGGAGTAATAGTTGTACAGGTGAAATAAGAGAGGTGTCCAGAGCCACACAACTTGAACTTCAGGGGAAGCAGAGCCCATCCTCCCACATTCAGCCCTGAGATAGTGAAGTGGAAACTAGCAGCAAATTTTGGACATGAATCAGATGTTTACAGAAACATATGAAATTTTTGAGATCCCAGCTTCCGGATCAAGCTTCCCTGTAAATTATAGTTCTGCTTTTCAAAAGACAAGGTAGGGAGTGTTAATTAGCCAAAAAGTTCTTGCACTAGTCTTTTGTAAATGGTGTTATAGGGCTATAATTTTCCATTCAGCTCTCCAGGCAAGCTCTTGCAGATAGGATCTCATTCCCTTCTGGATTGTTACTGGATTTCAGAAAAATGTTTCAAACCTTGTTGCTGTCAGAGAAACGAATTACTAGACAGGTCTACCTGGCAGGCTCTGCCATATAACAGATGAAGCCCTCCAACCTTGGTCCAGCAAAGGGACAAAAAAGCATATAAACATTCCCACAGAGTCAGTGTAAGGAGTCAGCAACCTCTGGATCAGGCCACCAACAATGCACGAAGGAGGAGCCACCAAGTGGCAAATACTGCCATCTCTGGATATGGTTCTTCAGAGGGATGAAGTGGTGAGTCATGGTCAGTTTCCAGTCTCTACACCTCTGCTCTCTGACACTGGATTTCGCTGAAAACATTTTAAGTTTCTCCAACATGGGCCTCAGACTTCTTGTTTACAGAAATCCATGAGGCATTTAATTAAAAAAAAAAACAAAACAAAAACTTCTTATTAAAGTAAGGAAACCATGACATAGCAATATATATCATTGGTAAAAACAAATACAGCTTGCCTAGCAGACCAGCTATCCTATTACCTCATCCACATGGCACAACCAGGGGAAATTATAAATAGCAGCAGCAGTAGTGCCTGGGAGTTGCATTTTGGCACCAGTGCCTCTGGCCACCTCCTTCAGGCTCCCAGTGGTTGACAGTGACATAGAGGGCAGGGCACAGCTGGAAAATCCCTGTCAGCCCTCTGCCCCCGCTCAGGCAGGGCAGGTCCCAGACTGACTCTCATGGGGGTTGCAGCAGGCAGGCTACCACCAACCTGTTCCTGATCAAACCAGCAGTGGGGAACAAGGCTCTACTGAGAAACACAGATTTTCCCGGTGCAACACCTGAGAAGCACAGAGGAAGAGATGGAGAAGGTAACTGTTTTTAACTGATTAACCTGACACTTGAGATAATGGTATATAAATGTAGCCTTGGGTGTGATCATCCCTGTTCACAGCAGGGAGAAAGCCTTTGTGCCACTACCATGTTAGTGCACTAAAGAATGATAGGGAGGGAGCCAGCAGAGCCAGGACAGCCTCTGTGGGCTGGCTCTCACACCAAAGCTGGGAACAGAGGGTACCAACTATTCATTTAGTTTGGGGCAGCTTTGTTAAGGGTGCAACTATGTTCATGGAGATTAGTGAAGGAAACAGCCTGAGCACCATTCTATTACTTCCACATTTTTTCAAAGATGTTGGGAGACATGGATGTACATGAGCACTTAATTGCAAGATAAGGGACAAACACAGATCCAGACCCAGGCCAGTACTCTTGAATGATTCCCACTTTCTTTTGGGTTTCAGACTAGCACACTTCACTGACAGCATGAAGAGCACAATAGTCACAATGGATGGCTCAGCTGATGGACAGCAGTTTGGGAGCTTTGGTAATCTGAAATCTGTTACCTTGTGTAGGGGTGTAGGGTCAAGCCCAGCTCAGCATATGGAACTAAAGATATAAATAAGATTTTTTTTTTTTTTTTTTTTTTTTTTTTTTTTATTATGAGGGTAGCAAAACACTAGAAAAATTGTGGAGAGAAGTAATGGGTGCTCCATCCTTGAAAAGATTCAAGGTCAGCTTGGAGTTCTGAGAAACCTCATATACTTGAAGATGGCCCTGTCTGTGGCAGCAGGGTTGGACAAGATGATTATAAGAAGTTTCTTCTAACACAACCTATTCTGTGATTCTAACTTGCTAACTTGACTGCTTCAAATCCTGTGTCCCTAGCCTAAGATCTGTATTTAGCTAAGATACTCACTCCTGGCTCCACAACCAAGCCAAACTTCATCTCCACCACCTGTGTGAAGGTCATAAGGAGGTAGGTGTGATACCTACTGGTTTTCAGTCCAGAAATCATCCCCAGGCAGAGATCCAGAGCACAATCTAGTTCATGAGCAGCACATGGGGGCAGCATGTGCTCCAGCACCTTGATGAGGCAGGGGGCATTCTGCACCAAATAAGACTAAGCTGGAAACCCTCTGCTCCCTGTTTGTCCTTCAGGTGATTTCCTCAGTGACTGAGAGAAAAATCTTGCAGAATCTCCACAATAACAATAGGAAGTGCTTTAAAACCAGGCTGTGGCTTCAAACAACCTGTATGGTAGCTGCTTGCAGGAGAAGGACTGGGACATGAGAAACTGTGCCAGACTCTTGAGAGCTGGTGATTCATGTTCAGCAACTACAACCTGGCCACAAATGTCTGTGCCAGCAAAGAATGGGGCAGCAATCAAGGGGCTTCAAATGGTCCAAGCAGACAGCTAGGGATCTGTCAGGAGGCTGAGTGAGAAACAATACAATAATTAAAAGAGAAAAAATAAATAAAAGAAGTAACTTTGAGAACGGAAAACTTTTGGATGGGACTCTTGTTCTGACCATCTTGAAAAGGGGGAAAGGGGCAGGAAGAGAAGCAATTTGCTGATGCATGTGGTGTGAGCAGTGCAACAAGGGAAAGGGGAGCTGCAGAGTGCCTCACCACCAGCAGCAGGCCTGGCAGTGAGACCAGGGAGGGGGTCACCCACACAGGCAGCTGGTTCAGCTGGGTTCACTTCTCCCCATGGCCCTTCAGCTGGCATCAAATATTTCCTGCAGCTTGCTCAGAGGTGCTTGGAGATGGCCCAAATCTGTGTCCTGCCTGCACAATGCGCTGGCAGCCTGCTGTCTTAGCCAGGACTCGGCACTTCCAGACCATCTCCTTCCCCCTGCTTTCCTCCCCCATGGCACAGCAGTGTGGAAGGAGCACAGGGCGCTGGCTGCTTGGACTTGCTCTATTTAGGTAACAGCAAACTCTTTCCTTCAGGGAAGGCAGTTGCACAACCGGTTGTGTATTCCTGCCTGCTACAGTTTCTCACCTTACAACCCTGCTTTCTGATAAGCCAAGCAATCCATGTCAGGGCTCCTGTTTGCTCCCTGGCAGTCAGAATTAGTGCTACATTCCTGCTATAAAAAATACTGGCTTTCATGTGGACCCAGCAATAAGAACAAAGATGGAAAGGGGATAGGCAGGAAAATTGAAGAGCAGAGATGAGTACCAGGGACAAGTAACTGAACATCGGGTAAAGCATGGATGCAAATCCCTTTCCAAGAGAACAAAATGCAGAAAAGTAAGCCTTTCATTTTGGTGCTCCAGTCCCAAAGAGCCAACATTTGGCTACAGTGGCAGAAGGCTTCATCTATGAAGGTGGGACAAACGTAAAATTATACAGAAAATCAGGAAAGCCAAACCTAATTAGCAGCAGAATTTCCTGTGGGGTGGTCTGTTTTGGGACGCTCATGCCTTCCTGGGGTTGATCCTTCTGAAGCAGAATACAGGATTGTTTGCACTCTCAAAATGACAAAATTAATCAGAAAGTGAGAGTGAAGAGCCATAGGACACCAGCCCTATTTTTCTGTTCCACATTCCATAGCCCAAGGGTAGCTGTGGATTCTTCACAGAATCACAGAA